ACTAGGACTAGTACTGGTACTAGTACTAGTACTGTGCTAGCACTAGGACTAGTAGTCGCTAGTAGTCGTTCCTGTATGCCGAAGTCAGTGCAATGCAGTGGCCCCCAGAAATCAAACAGGATCTACGTCTATAAGGTAGAAGCATTTTCCACACTTTGCCAAAGGCTCGTCGCCAGAATCGATACGAAGCTGTCGATCTCGACGTGCATCCTGTCAACTTGTGCTGCGGCACGGAAAAACCACACGTCTACGCCGTGGAGGCAGCCCCACATGCTAGATTGGAGAATTCACTCGGACGTGTGATTCCCAATACATGGGGCCTACAAAGTCTGGAACTCCGACTGTGATCACAGCTCTGCGTGTAAACGCCGAAAATCTTGGTTTTCATCTCCTTCTTCTTACCATCACTTCATCTTCCTGTAACTACGGCCAAGTTTTTTTCGCCGAGATTGGTCATGAAGAAGATTAAGCAGATGATAATGATGACAGCTGCGGTGATGATGCCCGTGATGGTGGTGATGGTGATATTTCCAAGAGACGGGAGTTGTTGAGGCCGCGGTGCTCATACGAGTTGTCGTGGTCGTGTTTCTCATGGTGCTAAAACCCGAACCCTAAACCATCCTAAACCATAAGCCCTACACCCTAAACCCTAAGACCCTATACCCTATAAGCCCTTAACCCTAATCGTGATCTTTCTTGCTTCCATGGATGCTGCTGCTCTGAGCGGGCTTCGGAAGCAAGGTCAAAAGCGTCTTATACTTGGGGTTATACGTGATAAAACCTTAGCTGCTGAGTTCATAAGAACAAAAACATGGACACTTTCAGTTCTACAAGGGATCATATAATCCCAGAACGTTTAAAGTGTACTCATTCAGCTACTAAGAAACGTACAGTTTCTTGCTCTGTAACCCTACTTACCATAAGTCCCGTGATCCTTTGAAGTATGCCTTCTTAAGCCCTTTGTGGCCCTTGTTGTGGAACCCGAAGGATTGAACCCATATCATAAAGACTGCTACGGTCATAGGCCCTAAACCCTAAACCCTAAACTCTGAACCCTAAACCTAAACTCTCAACCCTAAACCCTAAACTCTGAACCCTACGCCCTAAACCCTGAACTCTGAACCCTACGCCCTAAACCCTAAACCCCTTTAAGGAACCCTATAGATCCCTTTAAGGAACCCTTTAAAGGAACCTTAAAAGCCATAGGTCATGGCCTCGAGTCTCTAGCGCAACCGCTAGTGGCCCGCAAAATTTTCTTTTCCGGGCCCAAGATGCCTAAGCCAGAGAACCCAACACCCGGTTCAGGGTTTAGGGTTTAGGGTTCAGGGTTTAGGGTTTAGGGGATACCCCTGAATTAAGGAATAGGGCTTAGGTTTAGGGTTTAGGGTTTAGGTTTAGGGTTTAGGGTTTAGGGTTTAGGGTGGATCCCAGAGAACCCAATACCCCTTAATTAAGGAATAGGGCTTAGGTTTAGGGTTCAGGGTTTAGGGTTTAGGGTTTAGGGTTCAGGGTTTAGGGTTTAGGGTTTAGGATTAGGGTTTAGGGTTTAGGGTGGATCCCAGAGAACCCAATACCCCTGAATTAAGGAATAGACCTTAGATCATAATATTAAGGCCCCGATCATAGGGAACTCGATTGCTAATTCAGACTCCCGCCCGATGTTCCCAAGACCAGAAGCCCGAAACTCTAAACACCCTAAACCATAAGCCCCTAAACCCCTAAACCTCTAAACCTAAACCCTAAACCCCTAAACCCGAAACTCCTAAACCCTACACCCTTAACCCCGAAACCGTAAGCCCCTGAACCCTCCTCCGTCAGGCGGACGAAGTTATCTAGCGGCGTGTCGTCGCTCAACTGCGTCTCCATCGAGCCGCTAGGAGACAACTCCACCTGAAGCTTTTCGGAAAACTAACGCAGGGGCCTTCATAATTAGAATAGGGGTTTTGGGGGTGTACCCCAAAATAATATAGGTAATTACTAAGGCCCCTACAGTAAAGCGGCCTCTCTTTAAAATTGGCTCCGTAAACCCGAGGGCATGAGTTGAAAGCCCCTCTTGAGAGTGTTTGGGGCTTAGTTCCGGGAACTTCCACCTGGATTTCTAAACCCAAACCCTCAAAACTCCAAAACCCTAAACCCCCCCCAAAAAAAAAACCAAAACCCTCAAGCCTAAACCCCAAGAACTAAACACCCTAAACCCTGAACACCCCAAAACACCATATAGTCTAAACCCTAAAAAGCCCTAAACGCACTGACAACCCTAACAACCCTAAAGCCCTGACAGCCCTACACGTCTTAAACAAAATCCTGAAAAACCCTAAACACCCCTAAACCCTAAGCCCTACAAACCCTAAACCCCAAACACCCTAAACCCTAAACGACCCGAAACAGCCTGAAAGCCCCAAAAAACCGTAGTAACCCTAAACGCCCTAACACACCTAAACAAAAACCCAAAATAGCCCTAAACGTTGAGGGTGGGAAGCCTCCAGGTTTTCCCAACTCCCGAACCTAAAATTTTTACCAATACTCGGGTTTGAATCTACGGTTTAGGGGTTTAGGGTTCAGGGGTTTAGGGTTTAGGGGTTTAGGGTTTAGGGGTTTAGGGGTTTAGGGTTTAGGGTTTTAATGTAAGGAAACAACCACAAAACAAGACGAGCAACAAGGGCACTGCCGGGCCTGGGCAGCCTGGTTGCTTACTGAACCCCAAACCCCAAAACCCATATAGCCTAAACCCCAAACCCTAAACCCTGTAACCCTAAACCCTATAACCCTAAACCCCATAAATATGTTTCGAAGTACAGAGTCTGGACTCTGGCACAAAGATCTACAGTGCCCTCTCAGACTCTAACTTCTTTACAGTTTAAACAACTAATCCGAATTCTGGCTACACCGCCAACGGACCCGCTGCATCATGTGGCTCCTCACGGTAGGGATATTAAGTTCACGAAGTCGCAACATAGAGGACACCCTCAACGATACTGGTTAGACGTCAACCTTGGGTACTCTTTACCTATCTTGCGAGACTACATAGACCACACCGCCGATGACCCCACGGAACACCGCAAGGACCTGTTAGGGCTGTTAGGGCTAAAGGAGATAATTCACACAACATATCAGTGTCGACTGCACCTCGAGTCTGTGCCGACGCGCAATCGGGCTTGTTAAACAAGGCATGTTCGCATACTCTCGTGCGCGTGGCAGCCGTGAAAACCCCATAAACCCCTATAGACCCTACATACTTAGGAGGATTAGGGGGACCCCGTGGGGATATAGACCCTCTCAATTTTCAATAATGTCCCGCTTAAGAGAGCCAACAGTGGGGTGAAGAAGGGTGCCCGTTTTAAGGGGTCTCGTTTATCGACCCAGGAATAAACTTTATAAAACCCCAATTCAGAACCCACAAACTTGAAACCGATCAGTACATCCATACTGAGAGATACCTAGGAATACTAAGAGATACCTAGGAACACTAAGAGATACATAGGAACACCAAGAGATGCCTAGGAATACCCTAAACCCTAAACTCTAAACCCTAAACCCTCAACTCTAAACCCTAAACTCTAAACCCTAAACCCTAAACTCTAAACCCTAGACCCTCAACTCTAAACCCTAAACTCTAAACCCTAAACCCTGAACCCTAAACCCTGAACCCTAAGCCCTAAACCCTACGAGACTCTCTGAGGGCTCGGCGGTGTCCTTGATCAGGCTGATGAGGCCCTCCGTCGACTCCACCCCGAAGCTCTTCAAGTTGAAGCCGCGCTTGTAGTACCTTTTTCTATTATTATTGAGGAAACGGCTTGCGAGGACTTGCTGTGTGGCGAAGCCATGGAGGCTGAAAGCTTGGGGCTAGGTGCTGTAACGTGCCAGGTTCCCAGTGTAGCTGTAGTGCAGGACATCACTTGTACATTTTAGTCCATAGAAGCACTTGTATAGACAGCTAGAGACTTCGTTGACTTCGTTGGTTTGCGCCTGGTGTAAAAAGGGCGTAAGTCCGTGACGGTGCTCGTATCCTGCCTCGTTTTACAACGGGCAGGTTATGAGCCCAAATCGGCTCCCTGTCTAGAACTTCGCTAAGCCATGGACTCGAGCGGTGAGCCAAGCTATGGCAACTCAGGGACGCTTTCTGGGGGTCATGACAGCGAGAGGCTGGCGAGGTCTCCAGGAGGTGGCGATGTACATGGAGGCAATCCTTCTGCTTATGATGTGGCTTCTGATGGTGGAGCTGCAGTGAGAGAGCAGAGAGGGAGGCAAGGGGGTGATCGTACCCCCGAACAGGAGGCTGCAGCAATCTTGGAAGCAGTGGATGGATTGGAGCCTGAGTATGAGTTTCAGTCTGTCGAGGGAGGTGGCAATGGGTCTCCAGGGCAAGTTATCATGGTGTTGACGACGGAAGTCTGAACGGACCTGGAGACAGGGTGCTACGTGCAGTGGAAGAGAGAGCTGTAGATGGAGGGCGGCTCAATGGAGTTGCTCGTGAGCTGGGGGTGTCGAGGACGTCAGCCGGACAGCCTGAGGGAGTTGAGCGTCAGCTTCATCGGCTTGCACAGTCAGGAGTGACAAGCGCCGCCGACGTTGGCGGACCAAGCTGGGAAGGGCTGAACTCGGAAAGGGAAAGAAACGACGTTCTGGAAACCCTGGTTCAACAACTTTTGAGGCAGAACGAGTACCTGAAAAGAGAGTTGACTGATCAGACTTCGAGGAGCTCTCGTGAATCGGCTCAGTCGAGTAGGGCGGTAGCTGTACAGCAGGTAGGGTGTGAAGCTCGTGTAGTTGAAGGTAGAGGAGGTAGGAACAGTCGGGAACCTGGAAGTTCTACTGGTAAAGGGTTTGGGGATCCTAGCTCTAGCAGGGTTGCGACGGTTAGAACTTTTCAGCCTCCGTGGACTGCCTTCGCAGCTTCGTCTGAAGCCGGCGTTGGGGCGCTTCCGGCATTGGGCCCCGGCGACAGGATCCTTGCAGCTACGCGTGCCATGCAACAGTTGTCACTTGAGGATCGCGAGGTCAGTCGAATGACAGATCAGTTTTCTTGGGATGTGCCTACTGAAGGCTATCGGCAGGGCGCAGCTGGTAGTTTCCTTCAGGGAACCGTGCAGCAACCATGTGTGCACTCAGGAAGTTCTCAGCTGGTGGGTATATCCCCACCTGAGGACGGAGGTCCAGTTTTTCAGCCTGTAGGGCCATTGAGTTCAGAAGGTCTGCTGCATGTGGGTGTATCCCCACCACAGGACGAAGCTCCTGGGCAACGGCTTGTAGGGCCATCAACTTCAAGGGTTTCTCAGCAGGTGGGTATATCCCCACCAGAGGACAGAGTTTCTGTGCGGCGGCCTGCGGGGTTGCCAGTTGTGCCAGAGACGGAAGGTCAAGTAGGGCGTGCTCAGGTGTTGCAAGCTTCAAATGCGCAAGCTCTGGAAGCAGCAGGTAGGACGGTTAGGGTGGTTGTTAATGGGGTTGTTCGGGATGGGATCTATAATGATAGGGGTGAAGTTGTGCTGGTGGCTGAACAACCAAAGTACTTTGAGATCCACGATGATGCTAGTGACCCTTATCTAACCCCTGATCCCCCTCCACCTCCTCCAAAGAATGAGTTGCAGTCAGAGCATGCTAGTCTGGAGGCGCGGGCGAAAGGAAACAGTACGAATCCTTTTAGTGTTCAAGCTTCTACCCCTTTTCGATCGAGTGGAGCCGGGAGTCCTGGGGTTCAGGCATTTGGAGGGTTTCGTTCGCCCACGCCACCTCCTCCGCCGCCAGTGATTGAGCCTGAAGGGGGTATGAGGTTTCTTAGTAGGTCTCCTGGGTCTAGCAGGTCAGGGTATCCTAGAAGGGCCTTCAGATCGCCTAATCCAAGTCCTCCTAGGTCTGGGCAGCCTCGTGTGAGCTGTATCAATGCATCGCCAGCAACACCAGGCGGCACTAGACTGCCGAAAGGACCACCGCCAACGAGCCCTGTGACTGAGGTGAATGCAAGTACAGCTGCTGGGGTTGCGGACGTTTCGGCTTTGGGTTTGGAAGATGGGGATGCTAAGGACTTTAGGCCGGGAGAAAGAACATTTTGGGAGTTACCTGTTTTAGGGGATGTGTCCGAGGCTAATCCGGCCATGAGGTATAGTGATTGGATTCATCGTGTGACTCCTTTCTTCAATGATCTTGCGCCGCGGGGTCACGAATGGTGGCAGAGAGTGCTCCTGGAGGCACGAGCTGAGTATGATCGTTGGTGCAAGGCTAGACCCTTAGAGCGCTCCAAGTTGCTTGGTCGTCCCAGTGCTTTGCTGCTCGGGGAACGGTTTGTTCGGATCGAGGCTCGGGGGTTGGCGATGTTGGCAAAAGCGCTTCCGGTGTCCTTGTATGAGCAAGGGTTGAGCTGTAGAAACGTCACGTGCACCGGGTTGGTCTACCTAGCCATGAGGATGTTTCAACCTGGTGGGTTGTCTGAGCGGTCTGAGCTGCTGAAGGGGCTTACAGGACTTCCTACGTGCGACACGGCATCAAACGCTGTGTTGACGCTGCAGAAGTGGTTCAGGCATCTGGAAAGGGCTAGGGCTATGGAGGTAAGTGTCCCAGACAGTTCACTGCTTCTTGACAGTGTAGATAGGTGCATGAGACCTCTGTTACAGAACAATCCAGCTCTTCAGTTTCGAGTGCAAAGTGTTCGGATGCATCTTCAGTTGGATTCTGCTCCTACTCAGGAGACGGTTGAGGAGTATACCAGAACATTGCTTGCAGAAATGGAGTTGTTGTCGGTATCAGCTCCGGAAGGGGGAAACAAGCGTCAGAGGGTCGCTGCAGTTCAGGATCCTGCCTCTGATAAAGGGTCTGAGAAAGGAAAAAAGGGGCCTAAGTCTGGGGATCCCAATTCCCAACCAGGACAGGGTGCAGGAAGAGGGGGGAAGGGGGATCAGGTTAAGCTGTGTCAGGCTTGGTCTACGGACGCCGGTTGCCCTAACGGTAAGCTGTGTACTTTGCAGCACTCCCCGGAGCGTCCTGGTGGATGCTGGGTTTGTGGGGGAAAACATCAGAAAGCTGAATGCAAGGCTCCGGGAGGTGGAAAGGCCCCCAAGGATGGTACGCAGTCGGAGGCGACTGGTGATGATTCCAGTTCAAAAGGAAAGAAGGGCAAGCCTAAGGGAGGGGATAACAAGGCTCCTAAGGGTGGTCAGCAAACAGCTCCTAAGAATCAGTCCAAAGGGGCCTCCAGTGGTATATCTGAAGCTACCATTCGTGAAGCCGCTCAGATCTTGTGCAAAGCTTGAAGATATCAGCGCTGAGGGCAGATTTGGACAGCGCGTCACAAGCGCTGAAGGTGGTATGTGTCGAGGGCCGCAAAGGGCTAATAGACGGGGGGGCGACGTCCTGTCTTAGAACAGCTTACACGACTGAGCTGACTCTACCAACCATTCCGGTTAAGTTGGCGTGCGGAAGCTGCGACTTGCATATCAATGCCTATGGGACGTTACTTAGCCGAACTCCGGTTTCCCCAATTATTTCTGTGAAGGCTTTGCTGAAGCTAGGGTACAGGATTGATTGGAATGCCTCTAGATGCCGGGTGTCTCATCCAAAGTTTGGGGAGTTGAGCGTTGACACCCGCACTGGGTGTCCGGAGGTGGACGAGGAAGTAGCGTTGGATTTAATCAACCAGTATGAGCTGTACGTCGGGCGTCATGACAACAGGTGTGCTAGGTTGAAGTGTATCATTGAGGATCTGAAGGAAAAGGGTTTGGAGGATCTTCTGGAGCTTATCCGAGCGGGTGACTCCCATGCTGATGCTGCCTTTAGTGTGTACATTGATCGTCTGTTTCCGGAGTTGAATGCAGAGCTCAAGGAGCGTTGCGTGGTTTCTCTGCAAGATGCGGTGGAAGAGACCTGGACATGGAACCGTCGCACTCGAAGGAGATGTATGAAGTCGCAAGGGATAGTGATTCATGCGTTCTGTGAGCAAGCCAAGAAGGCTCTTGAACACGTCTCGGAGCGGTGGGACTTTGTGCATTTACCTGTAAATGCTGCTGAGGATCTCTTGAATGACAGTACATACAGGTACCTTCTTCAACAGGCGAGGGATGGTCGAGTTCGAGGCGTGGTCGGTAGCCCTCCCAGTCGGACCTTCTCGACGGCTCGGTATCTTCAGGACGGTGGGAACAAGGGCTTGAGACCTATCAGGGTTCCTGGGGAAAGTGTCGGGGAGTATGGGGTCAGGGATCTGACATGCCAGGAACAAGCCCAGAGGAATGTGGATGATACCCTGCTTATGCGATTCTTAGTGTTGACGGCCTTCTCAGTGGATTCCAATAAGGGGCTTGGGATCCCGGTTCCAGCATGCCTCCTTGAAAATCCATGTCCGGAGAATGAGATGCCGGCAGGGCCACAGGAGATATCTGAGGATGGCAGACAGGCTTCGGTGTGGAACACCCCGGAGTGGGAGCTGTTGGAGGGGAAGATTGGGATGAGCCAATTTCGATTCTTTCAGGGCCCCCTCGGACACTGTAAGCGTCGTCCCACCTGTATCGGGACCAACATTGATCCAGATCCTGATCTGATTGAGTGTAGTGTACCGGTTGGTCAGGTGGAATACATTCCAAGGAAGGACTTCAGGGCTGTGGCTGAGCGCTGGAGTGAATGGGCTCCTGGACTGGTGCAGGCAGCGAGTAGTATGATGCATAGGGCATTCGCTCAGATGAAGGCGACAGTGTCTGGTGGTTCGGGATTGAAGAAGATTGATTCTGGTTTTATTCATCACCTACAGCAGAATCATACACCATATCGAAACGATTGTAGCACATGCATTCGTGGAGCGGCCAAGCGTAAGCAGCATCGAAGAGTGCTTACGCCACAGGCTTGGACCCTATCGGTTGACACTGCAGGTCCTTTTGTCAAAGGGAGAGATGAGCATTCCTCTAAAGTGAAATATCTGATAGTCGGTGTCTTGTCGGTTCCGGTTCTGGCGGTTGGAGGAGAGGAGGTTGATAAGCCTTTGGATGCCGATCCAAATCCGGTACCTCCTGAAGGGGGAGCTATCAATGATGCTGAGTGGTTAGCAGGCGAAGCGCTGGGTGTAGAGGAAGCAGATCCAGAGTTGTCAACCAAAGAAATATCAGAGGCCAAGGCCACATGGAACGAGTGGGAGAAACTCGTCAAGTGTAGCAGGGAGGATTGGCTGGCTGAGGCACAGTCGCAAGTGTTGCCAAAGGTCGAGATTGTGGATTTCGTTTACGTGGAAACTGTTGAGAGGAAGACTCATGGTGAGGTTCTCACTGCTATAGGAAGGATGCATGCAAGGGCCAGAGCTGAAGGTTTCGACGTAAGGAGGTTGCATTCGGACCGTGGTCGCGAATTTAACAATAAGCCTCTTCGGGATTGGTGTGCGAGACACTCGGTGCACAAGACGCTCGCTGTGGCGGAAGAACATCAGGGTAACGGCCGCGCAGAAGGGGCAATCATGCGAGTGAAAAGCAAAGCTAGGATCATTCTCGAAGAAGCGGACTCCGAGAAAACAAATTGGCCTTTGGCAGCCAAGCTGGCGACTCACGAGCTGAAGAATGCAGCTAGACGAAAACTCAACATTCCGGTTCAGGAGTCACTTCCATATGGGACCAAGGTTCAGGTGATCAGTCGTAGTTGGAAGCGTGAAACCTGGGAAGCTCGCACAGCGACTGCATTCGTTAGATGTCCATCGGCTGACATGTCCCGGGGTTGGGTAGTAGAGACCGAGGACGGGAAGCTGCTGACGACCAGTAAGTTGTTTCCGTCGATGGATCATGGGAAGGTTTCCTTTAGCAGTACAGGAGCCGCAGTTGACTTGGATGCTCCAGATTATCGGCTTAGGGACAAAACCTCTGTTCGAAGCCTGGAACCACAGCTGCTGTGTGAGCCGTTACATGAGTCAGATCGGCTGGCTAAACAGTTGTATGAGGATGGTCGTTTCCAGCCAAAAGACCTGGCGACTCTTGCAGTGGCGGTATCCAAGCTTGAGCAGGATAGTGCTAGGATGGTGAGGTTTCACTCCAATGCCTCATCAGGAGTGTCTTTGAGGAGGTGTAACTTCCTTGCAGGTGCCTTCTCATATGGTGGTATGACAGGAATGAAAGCAAGCACGCGAGATCATCCTTGGGTCACTCGTTACCTGACGAGATACTTGAGCAACCACACGGATGGGATGTTTGCGGGTGTGGGTCTAATTCTTAACACCGATCATCAACTTCACCGCGATGTTCACAACCAAAAGGGTGTTGAGAATATTGTTCTTCCTGTTGTTACTTCCGGGGGAGGGTTGTGGATTCAGAACAAAACTAAGACCGTGGCCGACAGTGAAGAGTTGTTGGTCAAGCAGTCCCCGCATGGTAAGCCGCTAGTTGGACAGGTGCATACTTACAGCGCGCACGAGGTGGTGAAGTTTGATGCAAGTGTGTGGCACGAATCAGTTAGCCCGTCGGGGCAACAGTTGCTCTTGATAGGCTACACACCGCGGAGCTTACACAAACTGTGTGATGCTGATCGTCAGCTACTCTGGAGCACTGGGTTCACGCTTTTGCCTGCCAGTAAGGATGAGTTTTGGGGGTATGATCGCAGGGAGGGTGTGTTGACAAAGCATCACCGGGTTCCTCGAAAGCAAATGTATGCCCCATCCGACCGCGAGTGGTTGCCTGTAGATCGCAAGTACTTTGGGGATGTTCGGTACTGTATTCAGCAATTTCGGGACGGAGATCCTGTTCGAACCATGTGTCTTTGGAGGCGTGGTCGTGGTAGAGCATCCTCTCAGGCCTGGACTGGCACTTCATCCTTCAAACTCCGGGACCCGTCTTCGGTAGCTGCAGCCGGGGGGGGGGAATCGGATGGTTTGAAGGGGTTGCAAGAGTCGCATTTGAAAATTTCCGAAGTTTCGCAGATGCCTGTGATAACAAAGGTAGAGGAGCCGGAGTTCTTGAAGCTATCTGTGCCTCAGGACCCTCAAGAGATCTCGAGTGGGCTTGTGTGTCGGGATCAGTTTCAGGGGTCTGCTGCTGGGAGTTCGGTGGCTTATAGCAGAAATCTTTTGGAACCCAAGGGTGTTGAGCTAGAAGAGAAGAATCCTAGAAAGATTACTGTTAGCCAAGAGTTTCCTAGCTGCTGTCCACGAGAGGTGGCTCTACAGTGTGTGAGCGCCGAGCTTCAGAGACTTCAGAAGGTTGTACAAGGGGATGGGGTTACAGGTGAGTCTGGGAATTTTGGGAATGGTAGTGATTGGGAGGTTCAAAAGGATGAGCAGTGGTTTGGGTTCAGGGTGCCAGCTAGGATCTGTGGCTTGGAGCCGTGTCCAAGTACAAGGTTGGAGGGTACTGAGCATCTTGAGCTTCATGAGGTGAGCTGGCCAATGCAGGTGAATGTGTCGGGTGCTTTGGACTGGGTAGCAGGCCAACATCGGGAGGTTCAGTCACTTCTGCAGGCTGTAGATGATGGTGGGAATGAGTTCTCTGTGGAAGGTGATAAGCCGTACTGGGAAGCGCTGGAAGCGCTTGAGAGTCAGGGTCGTGAACTGCAGAGAATTGAGGATGAGTTGTTGCAATCAGCATGTCCTGTGGTCTTGAGGAGCCTTTCAGTGACTGAGACGATAGGTTCTGAGGACGGTGAGCTGTCAGCAGCTGCCGAGGGGACGGGGTCTGATGGGGACACTTCTTCAGACCCACCATCACTACATACCAAAATTATTGGGGCAGACCAGGTGCGCCGAGAGCCGGAAAAGTGGATTCCATCCATGACAGATGAGTACCAATCTCTGGTGTCCAAGACTGGTGCTGTCGAAGAGCTGTCAGAGGGGGAGTACAAGGTGCTAGCTGAGGATCCGAACATTATCTTGGAAATTATTCCGGGCAAGCTAGTTTACGTCCACAAAACGTCCGGAAGGCGTAAATCCAGAATAGTTGGTTGCGGCAATTTTTGCCGAGGCGACAGCAGCGAGCGATGCGAGCTTTATGCGAGCGGGGCAGGGGCCGAATCCTTAAGATTGATGATCCGAAAGTGTGCACTTCAACCCGAGTGGATGCTGGCTTCCGTGGATGTGCGAACCGCTTTCCTACAAGCGCCGCTACTTGAGAAGCAGAGAGATGGCAAGCGTCTGGTTACCATAGTGCGAGTTCCCTCCATATTGCGAGAGACAGGCGTGACGACCTGTAGGTTCTGGAAAGTTCGGAAAGCCCTATACGGACTAGCTTCTGCTCCGAAGTCCTGGTCTAATCATAGGGACAAGGTCTTAGCTGGACTTCGAATTCCTTGCAAGGGTGGCATACTACGGCTATCAAAGATGATGGAAGACGCAAATTTGCTCCACATCGTCAAGTTCCCAGATGAGAGTGAAAGTGTTGGCTTGGTTGAGGGCCAGAAAGTTGGGGTCATCGCTCTCTACGTTGATGATATCCTGATTGGAGCCGAGTGTTCTATTTGCGAAGCTGTGATTAAGGCCTTGCAGGATCAATGGGAGTTATCATCGCCAGAGTGGCTCGCAAAGCCTGGGGATCAGATGAAGTTTGCAGGTTATGAACTTCAGAAAACATCAGAGGGCGTCAGGTTGCATCAAGAGAGTTACGTCCAGGATCTTTTGGAGCAGAATGAAGGGCTTATTACAGGGGAAGAAAGGGCTCCTGCAATCAAGATGGGCAGCTTCGATGATGTAGAGAGTGATGTTGAACAACGTGAGTTGACCAAGAGGGCTCAGGGTTTAATTGGTCAGTTACTGTGGCTGGCTGGTCGTACCAGGCCTGACCTGGCATATGGAGTCAGCATGGCGGCACAGAAAATCGCTTCAAGTCCACGTGAGGCGTTAGCTCGGGCAGAGCACCTGGTGAAGTACTTGAGGTACGCCCCTGGCGTTGGTCTTCATTACAAGGAGGCAGATGGAAACTGCGGGAAATGGGACCAATTGAGGCATAAGCAGACTGGAGACACATTGGATGTCTACACGGACGCTTCATTTGCGGCGGATGAACAGTGTAGAAGCTTTGGGTCTGTACATCTGTACTGGGGAGGTGCATTGGTGTCGTGGGCTTCTGCTCGCCAGACGCTTATTGCTGCGCATACGGCTGAAAGTGAGCTTTACTCTCTTGCTGAAGGGCACTTGATGGGGAAGGCCTTTAGACCTACAGTGGCTGCTCTGATGGATGTTTGTGAACAGAACATAGCATGCCATTTGTATTGTGACAACGCGGCCGCGGTTCAGTTATGCATGCTGGAAGCTGGCTCATGGCGCACGCGACACCTCCGATTGCGGGGGGCTATCATAAGACAGGATCTTGAGAATGATATGTGGGCACTAGCACATCTGGAAGGAGTTTTTATGCCTGCCGACTTAGGGACGAAGCCGGTCGGACCGGCCAGGCTTGAAGACTTGCTGAAGTTGTGTGATTTGGATGTTCCGCATGTTAAACTAAGTAGTGACCCGCCTAGGCCCAGTGTTGCTGCGATGAACTCCACTCCATCGGGGTTCATGTCGACTTTCTTAGCACTTCTGATGCTGGCTCAGTCTGTAGGTGCTAAAGCTGCGAGGGTAGAGTTGGAAGGACATGTGAAGGATACTTTGATGGTTGGTTTCATTCTGGGGTTTGGTATTGGGTGTGGACTGTGGGCTGCTCGTACAGTATGTGAGTGCTTTGAGAGTTATCTTCGCAGGTTTCGACAAAGGGGTGTAGTGCCCAGGACGTCGTACGAGCAAGGATCTATTCAGATGTCTGCACGCGAGGCCATCTTGGATGTTCATCCTCAGACTGAGGCTCGAGATGAGCTTGGCTCTGGGGGAGCTCAGGGAAGTGAGATGGTTTATGAGGATTTCGTTGAGGATCCCGTTCCAACTGGCACAAGGGTTGAAGCGCATGGGGCTCATGGAGTTGATTCTTCAGCGGTCGTTGAACCTCTCCTCAATGAAGAACATGAGGAGATACTTCAGTACTACGCAGATCTTCGAGGTGCCTATGTACAGGCTGAAGAAGTTCCGGAGGGAATCAGAGAGGATGCGGTTCGTGATCGATTGATTGAGGCCTTGGGTCCACCCAGAGCACCGACGGTACCTAGACCGCCAGGCTATCCAGGGGATGATTTGGAGTGGTTTCGTGCGCCTGAGGGTTATGATGGAGTTGAGTTTGATGACGGGTTGGACACAGACTCTTCAAGTGACGAGCGGAGTACCACTTCAGGTTCAGAGGCTCAGGAACAGTTTGATCATCAATCAGGCGGATCTTCTAGGAGGTCGTCAAATGGGAGTTCTAGTGGGAGTCTTGTCATGGCGGGGCTGGCTGCTGGAGTGCAGGGGGCTCGAGCTCAGGACCCCACGCAGGCTGATGAGAGTATCAATCTAGAGTTCTGGATGTTTGTTGGTCTTGTAGCGTCCTTTAGCATGTTGTGTGGAGCTGTAGTCACATGTTGGTGCTGGAAATGCTTTAGTAGGACCAACAACTCTACTGCTGATTCACATCCTCAGCGCGAGGGTTCGGATGGCTCGAGGAACGGAAATGCAACCCCTAGAAGGTCTGAAGTGGGGATGCTGGAACGGAGTTCTGTGACCCTGTCACCTGTGGTGAATGTCACAATTCAGGGGTCTGGGTTTGAGGGACCAGTTAAGTGCGCGGTTGATTCTGTGGAACCTAGGAAGTTGGGCGTTGAGGGTCTTAGGATGAGGGGTCATCGAGGGGAGGCGGCGACGTCTGTTGATTCAGACAGCTCAATGGGACGTGGGAGAGGAACCGCGTCTCAGGAGACTCGCCAAAACAGATCATACCCGGTAGACCCTAGTGGTTTAGGCCAAAAGGTTACCCTAGGATCTAGTCCAGGACAAGCCAGCTCAACCCGTGGAGACCCTAGTGGTTTAGGCCAAAAGGTTACCCTAGGATCTAGTCCAGGACAAGCCAGCTCAACCCGTGGAGACCCTAGTGGTTTAGGCCCGAAGGTTACCCTAGGATCTAGTCCGGTGCAAGCCCGCTCGACCCGTGAGAACTCTAGTGGTTTAGGCCCAAGGGGTACCCTAGGTTCTGGCCTGGTGCAAGACGATGCAACCCATGGGAGTTCGAGGAACTTAAGCTTCGTTGGCAGTCTGAGGCCGCAGAGTGCGGGTTGCAGTGACCCGGCGACAGGTGCAGATGCGGGGATGCCTTTAGATCGGTTTAGACGGCCGTCGGGAGTGAAGCAATCGGTCATTCTGAGCTGCAGGAGCGATGATATTCAGCCGTTTGTGTTCTTGACCCAGCATGGGAATTGTTTACACAGCGGTACTAGTTGCAGACCGATGCAGTCCTCAGGGTTGGCTATCCAAAGGAGTCTCTGCAAGTTCTGTTTTGAGCTAGGTAGTCTGCCTACCCGTTCTGTGAAGGGCAGTCAAGAAGATCGCATTGTCTTTTTTACAAGATCGGGTCACTATGTGCATGCTAGCAGCGACTGTCAATGTTTGGATCGCAGCGAAGAGATATGTACCCGTAAACTTTGTCGTTGCTGCAGATGGCGATGATCAATGATAAGGTTGATCTCTACAGACAGGACGCGCGCCGTATGAAGGAATGGAGATACCTCCATTGGGGGAGTGAGGAAACGGCTTGCGAGGACTTGC